TAAAAATTAAAAAAAGTCTAAGTATCGATAAAGTCCCAGCCAATAAAATTTTGAATGTTTTCTCAGAAATAAGTAAACCCATTTTTTAAATCTTTTTAATTACATTCAACTCTTCAATAATGAAAGGAATTGTACCCGACTATTTAAAAATAGCTAAATATATTCCTATCTATAAATCCTGAGAAAATCCTTCTTAAATCAATCCTACGTGTATTTTCAAAACTACTCGAACAAATAATCTACAATTGTTTATATAAATATCTAACCACAAACAAAATCCTGAATAAAAAACAATATGGGTTTCAAACTCACCACTCGACAGAGCATGCTATTGTAGACCTCACGAACAGGATTAGTAAATCAATCTGTGAAAAGAAGATCGTATAAGCAGTCTTCGCTGACTTTTTAAAAACGTTTGACACGGTAAATCATAAAATACTACTAAAAATTGGAAAAATACGGATTATAAAACCATACACTGCAATGGTTCAAAATTTATCTGTATAACAATCAACAGTGTACCATTACAGGTGATAACTACCACACTTAGTTATTAAAATTAACTTGCGGTGTCCCCAAGGTTCGATTCTTGCTCCTCCTTTATTCCAAATCTATATAAACGACGTTCCAAAAGTTTCTAGCAAACTTGAGTTTATAATGTTTGCAGACAATACAAAAATATTTTACTCTTCGACAAACATCAAGGATCTGTATAATAAACATAAAACTCAAAAAATTAAATATATGGTTTAAAACGAATAAGTTAAAATACACTTTATTTCATTCAAACCAGCAAAGAAACAAACTACCAAATATTCTACCCTTTCTAATAATAGAAAATGCAGTAATTGAAAGAACTCACGAAAATAAATTTTTAGAAGTTTTAATTGATGAAAGTTTATCTTGGGAAGCTTACATGAAGGCTTCATACACTAAAATATCAAGAAACATAGCTTGGGCGAGTATGCAACCAAATTGAAAACATTATATCAACGTCAGAAACATGCTCTAAGAGTAATCTACCATAAAGACAAATTGACACACGCTGAACCCTTATTTAAAGAAATAAATGTGCCTAATATTTGTCAAATTAACATTCACCAAAATATATTGTTTATGCTAAAATTTAAGTTAGGTCAAGTACCAAACCATTTTTTACATAACCTTTCTATAAACAACGTTAATGAACATAACACAAGAGAAAAGGAAACTTTATTTATATCTTTCAAAAAACAAAACTTTCTTAGTTCTCAATATTATATCGGGGTCCTTATTAATACAACAAACTTGTAGCTAAAAATTAATAAATTTGCAATCCAGATAATCATAATTCCTTGAACAAAAAGTTAAAAAATCTGATACTGATTCTAAATAAATACTCTGAATTCTTCTACGACTATAAATTATATTACATACATATAAACTACCAAGTAAACTGACTCGTTTATGTGTATTATCTAAATGACTCTCACCTTTCTTAAACAATATAGCAAAAAATTGTTTATTACACACACAACCACAATAAAAAAAATAAAATAAAATACTTTTTTTTTTTCATAACAATTTTAGTTATTATGCTGCTTGTTATGTTAAACTTTTATCTTGATTTTATTTTGAGTTTAAACAAGTTTTTATTATGAGTTTATTTTAATCTAAAGACTATGGAAATATTGTTGTATTTAATATATAACTATATTTAACATAATCATTATATATATATATATATATATATATATATATATATATATATATATATATATATATATATATATATATATATATATATATATATATATATATATATATATATATATATATATGTATATATATTTTAAGTTGATTAAGATGCCCCCAAGAATTCCTTATGGTCTTATCATAGAGCACCGAGCTCTTACGAGTCTTATCACAGTATTATCACCGAGCTCTTACGGAGCTTATCACAGCTTATCACAGAGCACCGAGCTCTTATCACAGAGCACAGAGCTCTTACAATTTACATTGTAAGAGCTTTGTGATAAGATCAATATGACCTTCTTGAAATCCGGCCCCTACTATTTAATCACGAGGCTTGTTAATGTTACACCTTTAATTTACGAAACTTGAAAATGTTATATGTCCGACAAAACATAAAAAAGAAAAAGAAAAAAAAAATGTTTTAATAATCATAATAATATTATTATACATATATATATATATATATATATATATATATATATATATATATATATATATATATATATATATATATATATATATATATATATATATATATATATATATATATATATATATATATATATATATATACATTGAGGTATCCAGTACATCACTTTTGTATGCATGAATTTAATCTTTTTGTATGCATGAATTTCATCTTATAGCTTATACGTTATATATTATTAAAATATTTTTTTGAAATTGTCATAAACATTTTTAAATTTCTTTTGCATTGTTTTTTTTTAGGTAAAACAATTATCATTACTTGGAGGAAAAGTCCAGTTGATATAACTAAAAATATTTCGCCCACGTAAGTAATTATCATCTTTTTTATATATGTAGACAGACAACAGACAGATAAGAGTTGACAAGTCTATGTAACGCTTTCACTGGTATTCTAATTGCCTTATAATTATGTTTGATTAGTTTTTAAAATTAAAAACAATATTTTAACTGAAAAAAAGTTTTTTAGTTCTTTTGCTATGGAACATGACGTGTATATAAGTAAATTTCATTTTATGGTTTTATTGAACTATGTGTTTTTTTTTTTTTAGATGCTGCTTTAAAGTCAAATAAAACCTTAACTAAATTGCCATGCATATTATTGGGAGAGTAATTAGGTATTCCTCTGACCAATTAAAGAGAACATCCACTATTTCGATATCGATCGATGGCCTATTTAACTATAATCAACTATTACATTTTTTATTTATTTTCGCGTTTTTCAGTAATTTTATTTTATTTATATTATACTATCGATTATACTCTAAAAATTATATTAGTTTTTAATTTGGAAAGTGTAACTTTGTTCGAAAATTTTTTCCAAGTTTTTGTAAAATTAATAATTATTATTAAATATACCAAATTACTCTTTATACTTTGATTTCTCTTTATACTTTCCCTTGCCAAGATTAAATCAAGTCTAAGTTGTTTATATCATTGCATTTTTATATAATTTTAAAAAGAATGTGATAAAATAAGGAAGTCTCTAGGACGTCTGAATAAGAACAATAGATTTTGTCAAAAAGTTTTTAGGAAAATTTTTTGACAAAATGTATTAATTTGCATTCATTAGGATGTAAAAATAATATTAACATCCTATAAATGATAAAATACATAAATGAACGTACCCAGTATTATTTCATTATATTATTTATGTGTTATTTAATTTAGTTTTCTTTACTTATTTTCTAAATATTATTTTTCCTTTTTAAAAAAACACTGTCGGACGTACCCAAATACATAGACCTGAAAATACATATGAATAATTCATAATATTTTAAATTTGTTTAATATAAATGTTCAAGCATTAATTCGTTTGTCAAGTATTAATTTATTAATCAAGTATTTGTTTGTCGAGTATTAATTTGAAAAGTCACTTAATCAAGAAGTTAAAAACATGTTTGAAATGATAAAAATAATTGATTTTTTTGAAAGATATGCTAGAAAAAAATATTAATTCTTGTAAAGATATTGTTATTGTCGACTCTTGCAAAGAAGAAACAACTCTTAAAATTTTTGAAATCTGTCTTCCAAAAAGTTTTAAACAAAAACTTAATGGAAATTTTTTTTTTTAAAGTAAAGACATTTGTTCAGGTTTTATGATTTTCTAGATAACTTGGTTAATTGTAATTTTCTAAATAACTATTTGGTTAACTGATTGCTAGCTAGTTAATAATATTTATAAAGTTTTCATATAAATTCATTAACTATTAAATTTTATGTATATCTCAGGTCTTAATCAACTGGAAACTGCCTGTACAGCTCTATCTCCTTATGTCTTACTGGAAAAAAAAATTTAGTAAAATTACATGTTTACTTCTTTGCAAGAGTCGACAATAACAATATCTTTACAAGAATAAATATTTTTTTCTGACATATCTTTCAAAGAAATCAATTTTTTTAAATCATTTTCTAACATAATGCTTTTAACTTCTTGATTGAGTGACATTTTAAATTAATATTCGGACACACGAATTAATGCTTGAGCATTTAAAATTAAACATATTTAAAATATTATGAATTATTCATATGCATTTCAGCGTGTATATATTTGGGTACATCCGACAGTATTTTTTTTTTATAAAGAAAACAATGTTTAGAAAATAAGTAAAGAAAACTAAATTAAATAATAGATAAATAATATAATGAAATAATACTGAGTACGTCCGTTGATGTATTTTATCATTTTTAGGATGTTATTATTATTTTTACCTCCTGATGATTGCAGAACAATAGATTTTATCAAAAATTTTTGAGAGTTTTATGCTTTGGGTACGTCTAAAAGTTGTTAAAAGTAAAGAAAATTTTCATTTATTTTTTAACAAACCAAATAAAAATTTAAAAAGATTTTAAATTATATATTTAAAAAAATACTGGGTACGTTTATTGATCTGTTTAGGTAAATATTTTTTATCAAGAATTGTTTAAACCTCCGGTTGAGAGTTATATACATTTTCAAATTCGCTATAAAGAAGAACCATTGGTATTTTTATTTGACGATAATACTGAAATAAAAATACCAATGATTCGGGTTTTTTATTTCTTTGTAAATATTAACTAGAAATGTAAAATGCGAGCGCAGAACCTAAATCTTATTGAGTTGACAGTTCTTTTGAAAATTCATACACTTTTTTAAAATTCAATTTATAATCGAATTTAATATAACATATATTTTTAATATTTTTGGGTATGTCTTAGGACGTATTTGATCCGCCCTTGGCTTTATAAAATACTGTATAAAAAATCTTCACGTTTAACTCAAATTTAAAACTAAACCAAAATAAATTGATACACTGACAGATTAGTAATTAAAGATTAAAAAATATACAAAATAAGCTAAAAAAAAGTGTACAAAGTACACAAAGTGTGCAGAATAAGAAAACAACACAAAGTGAAAAATCTTAAGTATTTTAAAAGGAATGTCTGTACTCGATTCTTTGTAAAATTCTAAAAAAACTAACGTTTCTAAAAGTGTGACCTTGTGGAGAGTTGAGTTTATATGACTGCAGCCCTTCTTATTTTACTACCCTTGCAAAATTTCTTAACACTTGCTATGATTACAATAAATAAGATTGCTAGTGTTATTCCAACCACAAGTCCTGTAGTGACATTTTTGTTTGACGTGACTGTTTGGTTTTCAGCCGGAAAGACAGGTGATAGTGAATCATTGCACATTTTATAACTTTCAATTTTGCTTTCCACAATAATAATTTTGTATTGACCGCCTACGTTTGTACTATTTACTTTTAACTTTAAAAAGAAATCTATATTACCAAAATTTGTATTTGCTGATTTTACTTCTAATTGATAAAATTTTAAAGACAACTTCACTAAATTCAACTCAATAAAGCTTGGTTTTCGATAAGAATCTATAGAAACCACATCAAAATCATCAATTTGTTCACTGAGAAGCGCAATAGAATTATTGTTCCAATATTTATTATAACAATTGACAAAAGTTTGAAAGGTATACTCAATTTCAAAATTGTTCATGTTGATTGGGTAGTAAAATACTGTTGATATTGTTACTGTGCGATTTGTTAAAATATTTAACCTAGTTGTGGATATATTTACTTCAAAATTGAAAAAAGTTCTGTTACCCAGCTGAGATTGAACTGTTAAAATTGTTGCATTTTTGCTGTTTAGACTAATTACAAAAACTGAGGTAATAATCTGGTTCTTGTATTTTATTAACACATTCTCGGGTATATTGTTGATCTGCATTAACATCGGGTTTTCCTCATTTGCTTTAACAAACAAATTAATTAAACCTCTGGTATTTGTTGGTAAATACCCAATATCAATATTTGGTGGCTCGTTAAGAAGATCTTCATTAGATATTTTCACATTGCAGTTGTCACCTTTGAATCCATCTATACACTGGCAAAACGCGTTTACACAAACACCATTTCCAGAGCAATTATTGTGACACGTCTCGTTTGAGCCTGCAGGCATCTTATCACTAATTAACTTAAAAAACAGCAATGGAAGACTGTTCAAGACATTGTCTTGGGCAGTGTAATAAATATTGTAAGGCTGATTATTTAGAGGGAGCTCAAAACTTGATATTGACTCATCAGTTACAAAAATTATTTTTTCCGTACCATTATAAACAGTTATTGAGTTAACACCTGAACCTTTATCTGTTGCATTTATCAGTATGTAGTTGCCATTAGGTATATATGTCATGGTAATCTCTGGTAATATTGCATCAATTGTATATACAATAATGTTTGTTTCGATTGCATCGTTTTGATCAAATACAATACTCGCGCCTACTTTCACAGAAGTTAAATGAGGTAAATTAGGCTTAAGTAGTACTAAAAACTCAACAAATCCTTTTCCATGCGTTCCGTTACTTGGTGGTAAAAAGCCTAAACTTGCATCGTCTGGTATATTGCCAGTAACTTTATCAATTGTCTTAATTTGCCAAATCAATTTACGGTTTAACGGACTAATTGTTGCAAAAACTCTCAAATTAAACAATCCAAATTCTAAAGTCTCTGACAAATAAGGTCTTTTTAAATTATTCAAATTTTTTTCAAAGCTATTAAAACCATACCTAGTAAACATAATACTTGCATAATTGAATTGATCATCTAGTTGGGATTCCACTTCAACTAGTTGTGCAGGCGCACTCGCATTAGCCATATTTTCAAAATTAATAACAAAGATAAACTTTTGATTGTTTGAGACATAATTGTTGGCACCGTAGCCCTTTGGACCTAAAATATCATTAGGATCAAACGACCTAGCCCAATTGATAAGTTCTGTTATCTCTGGAAAGATACTAACAATTGCTTTTTTTAAGCATTTTGATTTATATGGAATTTTTTTAACTAGCGATTCAATAACTTTTTCGCCAGCCATATTACCAATTTTATCAACAACATCAGATTTTGTCAATTCATTACATAAAAATCGTTTAAAAAAATTAGTCTTTGAGCCTTTGACAACTTCCTCTAATGAACCTTTAAATGTATTATTTTTTAAAAAGTACTGTTTAAAAAAGCTTCCAGCTGCACTACATGCTGCATCAACCCATTTTGAGCTGTCACCTATATTATCTAATACAGACAACACTATATTACTTGAAGGAACAGTCTTCAAATTTATCTCTGGGCAGAATTGATTAGAAAAAGTGAAATATGGTTTTTCAAAAGCAATAAAATTTGGAGATAAAAATTTTGGAAAAATTGATGGACTTAATGTGGGAGGTTCAAAGTTGATCTGATTTTCCGAAGTGATACGATTCATTATAGGAAAATCAGGAAGCTTATTTATAGTGCTAGTAAAAATAGGATTTTGATTAAATACTGAATCGATATTAAAAACCAGTTGCCCGAGATTTGTGTTACAAGATGTTGAGACTGGTTTATTACTCGGGCCTAGAGTTGTATTTAAATCAATCCTCGGTAGAAGCGTATCTGTATCAAAAGGTATATCAGGAAATATAACTGGGTTACCCGGCATAATTGGATTGGGATTTGGTGTGAATTTTGGGGGCTTTACAATTGTCCCGGGACTATATACTTGTTGAACAAAAAAGTAACCGTTGTACTCAAAATAAATCACTTTGTTGCCCATCATGAAACCAATTGATGTTTTTATGCCTGGTATGTAAAGAAAATAGATAACTGTTTTGTTGGATAGCTTTATTGATAATGGATTTTGATTGTTGTATTGATAGCTAAAAATAAATAAGCCAGCTTTGGTACAATTAAAGAGGCTAATCCTCTCCAAGCAATCGTATTTTAAGCTGCAGTTGTCATCTTTGGTTACAAATTGTGATAGTTTGCCATCTTTGTAGTATTTATATGTTTTAACTGTATCTTGGCTTTTATTCCTCTCTTCTATCACGTTACCATTTCGATCGTAATTGTAAAAGTTAACACCGTCGCTTAAGTACTGGTTCATTTGATTAACTACATACTCGTTTTCCTTAAGCTGTTCATCACCAAATCCAATATGCTCTTGATATCTTAATCGATTTCCGTTTGAATCATACAAAACATTAATTGTCGTGTTTAAATTATGATTTTTAACACTAACTAGACGATTTAAAGAATCATAGTAGTAATTAGTTACGTAATCGGATTGGTTAACACCTGTATACAGTTTCAACGTTTTCAATAAATTTTTTTGGTTATACTCGTACTCATATCTAACCAAGTTCTTTTCAACGTGCATGTCACCAATTACATAACTTATTAACTTGCCGTTGTTAGCAGAGTATATATAATTAAAGTATCTTGAAACCTTAGGCAAAAATAAGCTATATCCATTTTGAGTGTAGTTAACTTGTGCTAGTGTGTCCCCATTTACTTTTAATTGAGTAACTCGTTCATTTTGATCTCGAGTGTAAACAAAATTTATGTTTTGATTTGTTTTCATTTCAACAAGGTTAGATTTATCATTGTAAACGTATTCAACTATTAAATCAGATTTCATTTGAGTTTTTATCAGCTTTCCGAAAGCATCATAGCTATTGTATATTGAATAATAGTCGTCTTGGCCTCGTGCTGCACTCAAATAACCTTGCTCTGTGTATTCAAATGAGCACGTGTTTAAATCATCGCCAGTTGAATGACTATAAAACACTCTGTTCATATTTTCATCGTATTTTAGGGTTAATTCATCGTTATTTCGCGTTTGGATTTGCAGCACATTCTTCTTTAAATCAAAAACCTTTCTTTCTTTCAGATTATTAGGCAATATTAGTTCTTCAATTTGAGTATTATCATTCACTAACTGTTTTATTAACTTAATTTTATTGTTTAACCTGTCACTGTACTCCGTAACTTCATAAGTTTCATTCTTAAACACAGTTTTCCTCGAGCTCAAACTTTCATCGCTAAAAATTTGATTGACACTGTTCTGTTTCTCATCGTAATTAATCCTCTTAAAAATCTCACCATTAACAAGTATTGTTGATTTACTCAAATCCATAGATGAAACAAAGTGAACTCGGTGACGCTCGTTTTTCTCATAATATAACAGCCGCCCATTCAAGTCGTAAAAGTACCTAACTTTTATGCCGTTAATCTGATCATGCATTTCAACTGGACCGTAATCATAATACGTGTAATTGTAGTCTAATACTGTTTGGTTATTTACGTAGTTTGTTATACGACTTACTAGGCTATCCTGGTTAAATTCATACTTAAAAACTAAATTATAACTTGTTTCAGCTTTCACAAGATTGTTTAGGATGTCGTATTCATACTTTACAACAACAGATGGTGTCGTAAACTCAATTAGACGATCAAATAAATCGTAAACAAGTGTGAAAATTTCTTTGGGTGAATTTGATGACTTTTTTGTAATAGTTTGTAAAAGATTGCTGGTTGTGTAAGTAAACTGAATTGTTGATTCCGTGTTAAATATTTCATAAATTAGTCCTTTACGACAGGTAACTGTCATTTGTTTGTTTCCAGTAAGTGTGGTTAATGAATGTATGCAGTTTTCAGTAAAATTGTACCCATAAGCTAAATTATTTTCTTTTAGTATTATGATTGCTGTGTCACCGTATATATCAACTTGCCAAATGTCAGAAAAGTATGAAGTATTTGACGTTCGAAAATCAATACTGTATTGTTTGCCACCTAATGTCAGAAGAAGTGAATCGTAATCACTCTTCTCAAGTCTAATGTGAAGGTTATCCGTCCATCCCATACCAAGTGGGATATTTTTTGTGTTTCTAGAAGAATATTTAGCTGAATATGAACGAATGTAAGCAACTTCATTGGTGATAATATTAAAGTCAACTGAATCTATTAGATTAGTACTGAAGAACGCTCCATCGAGCCGGAATATGTGATAGACTACCAGGTCACTTAATCGATAAATATCTACCCCATTGGTTGTTAGTTCGTTAACTGTTTCATGCAACATTTCATTACTATTTTGTTTGACTTTGTTTATTAGAAGCTCAGATAACTGCTTCCAAACACTCTCAGTAAAAAATGGCGGCTTGTATGAGTCAATATTATTGTTAATAAAATTTAAAAAAAAGCTGTTTTCATAAGGAATCGCTGTTATTTTTGATTGTCCCAAAAACTCTGAATTAATTGGTCTCACTTTCAAGCGCAATGTAGTTGATGATCGTGGTTGTAATACACCACCAAGGTTATTTGTATTCAGGACAATAAGATAATCGTAGAAATATGATGGATATGGTTGGTCGTTAAGTGCCACAATTTCAAAATCAGGTAAAAGTTTTGTTTCTGGTAGATTTTTAAGATCATTTTTAAAAAAGTTAGCCTCAAGATCAACACAACTAACAAATACAACTGGCACGTATATATCTGTGTCACCATTGTTATTGACAACCAGATCAACATAAGCAGTTTCGTTTTGTCTGTATAAACGTCTTGAAACTTCTAATTTTAGCTGCATACTACCAATTTTTCCAATAACAATTTCAACTACTTGATCAGCTGATTTATTATTAACTGTAAGTTGGTAAACTCTTTCTGTTTGAAGATTAAAGTCTGATAAGTCAAATGTTGCAAACACCATTTCAATGTTCACCTTGTAAACTTTTACTGCACATACTAAAAAGCTTGCGCCACTAATATTTTTCAAACAAATCTAAAATTAAGACATTAATCATCAGTAAAGGTAACAAAATATATTAGTTAAACCTTTTAAAAAAACTTTTAGACATACCTCTAATTTTTGAGGAACAAAGTTTCCAATAATTTTAACAGTGTTTTTGCCTTTTACGCTTAGTTTTGATGGCTCGAATCGGTCAACTTCAATATCTTGTACATATTTAATAAGTATCATTGCTAAGTAAGGCTGATTAATTGTTGCAAGGTAGGACTTGACAACCATGTAGTACTTATCGGAGTTCAAATTTCTTACAATAGACGACTGATTAGAAGAGTAAGAAAAGATTGATTTTGAAACAAATGAATTCTCTGTTGGTATGGTTTTTAATTGAATAAAAATATCGTTATATGATAGTTGACAGTTTGTCTTTAACTCAACCTTCAGCGTATTCATTTTAGAGTCAGGCTTAAACTTAAACAGATTGTTCCGGTTTGGCTTGATGAGAACCTCTTGATAAACGTTTATATGCAACTCCAACACTTCAATTGCAACACTTTGCTCGCTGACTCCTGCATTGTTTTCAAAATTTGTTTCCTCCACATTTGTGATTGTATGAACTATTCCATAATAGGAACCATCAGGTAAAAGAGGCAATTGTAGCGTATTTATTTTGTAGTTGATGTCACCTAACTGAGTGCCTGATACCACATTAATTTCGAATGCCTCACAGTAGCCATTGCTTAGTTCAAAGTCATATATATAATCAAATTTGTTGTCAAAAGATAAATACAATGAGTCACATTTACGCGCTAATAACGATTGATCAGCATTGAGTTGCCAAAAGAACTCTAAATTGTTCGAGGTTTCACTGTATATAGTTACGTTTTTTACAAATATATCAGCGTTTGTGACTGCCTTTACTTGAATCATTATTGAAGCCTGGTTATTGTCATAATCCGAATCAAATAAAACTTTTGTGGTGTCCGTTACAAATGCAATAAAATACAGACCAGAACTAAGCTTAAGTGGTAATGTAAGTTCAAAATCAACTTTGTAAAAATCGTTTGTATAAAGGTCACGTAGACGAGCAGTCGTAATTAGTCGCAGATCGTTTGGTGTAATGGTTGCAAACTTTGACAAATAAACTGCATCATACCAGCTGCCTTCAGCTAATCCCTTACCAAAGTTGTATACCTCAAACGAAAATTTAATTTTATCGCCTCCTGTAAAAACGTTTTCTGCAGACATTATTGTTCCATTTGTGGATGCTATATTGCATGGCTCAATTGGTAAAACATCAACCTCAAAATTAGAGTTTAAAAGTCTAAATGAGTTAACATTACTGTTCTGAGGATCGTTAATAAGGTACCCATAATACTTACCTGACGCTTTTTTCGGTATTTGCAATTTAATTGTGTAGTTATTTGTGCTTGATTCTCCACAACCAAGCTCAAAGTTATAAAAAGCTTTACTACCAAGCAAAATACCAGATGTTAAAATATAACTTTGCCAATCATTTTGTTTTCTATGCAGATATACGCTATCTATCCATGTGCTTAAAGAATATTTTGAGCTGTTACCTTCATTTTTAATTGTGTATTCCATTTCAGTTGAGCTGCCAGCTTTCCATAGGTTTAGCTTGCTAAAATTATACAATGGTGTAAGTATAAATCTTGCATAAGGTTTGGTAGGTATTGAAAAATAACACTGTTCTTTCAAATTGTTTACAAAGCTAAATAGTTCAAAAGCTCCATTATCAGCGTTTACAATTACTATAATCTTGCATTTTGGGTAGTATCTTTCTTGAAGAGAAAACAAAAATTGATAATCATTTGAATAAGTATCTGATGACCATAATTGTTTTGTTACGCTAAGGTTTTTGCTTATAGTCAAATCATTATCACAAACAACAGAAATTTTGTCAGTCCATGTTTTTAATTTGTTCATGCTATAAGCAATATTTTCAACACTGTACGTCACAGCCACTGTAAATCGGTGATTGTTGCATTTAACATTTTCTTTTATTTCTAAGCTATTAGTGTAATAAAGATCTTTGACTGATAAGTCAGCGGATCGAAACTGTTGAATAAACACTTTTGTTGAATCACTACTGCTCTCCGTAGCGTCTTGCCATTTAATGGTTATAGTAAACGTTCCGTACAATTGAAGACCTAGAATTAGCTGAGTTGATTCTTCTTTTACATCTAGCGGATAAAGTGTATTTTGTGATTTATAGCTGCCTATTTGGAACGAAGAGCCACTTAAAGATCTGCCATAAAAAGTAAACTGAGGATTTTCAACTGTAATGTCTCCAATATTTTCAAGTTTCCACGCCACAGTTATATTATATCCGTTTAAATTTAGTTGTGGGTCCTTTGTTATGTTAAGCTCAAAGATTCTTAATAAAGAAATTATTTTATATATTTGAACTGATTTCTTGATTGGACTGTTAAAGTCAATAAGTTTTTCAATCAGCTGATTTTTGTCAACAAAAATATATAAATAATATTCGCCATACACCAAATTATCTAAATAAAATAGTTTTTTAAAAGTAAATTTATTTTCGTTTCCGTTTGTAGCAAGCATCCTCTGATTTGACTCAAAAAGTTTAATAGCAACGCTCTCTTCAAATATTTGCAAATTGGACAAATAGAAAACATCTGTCCATACAAGTTCGCTAGTAGTTTTAAATGGATATTCAACATTGATTGTATAATAAACTTCCAAAGCATTGACCGCCTCCCGATCTTTTTTAATCACTTTGATAGTTGTGCCAAAACCTTTTAATGACCATTTTGTTTTAACTAACTCCACTGTTAAAAACAACGCAATCGTCTTGATGCTTGTAAAAGTGCTGAAGACATTATTAAAAAAATCAGCTGAAATAATTATTTTGTACATTCCACTTTTGAATTTCCAGTCTATGTAGAACTCAATTCGACGGGTATATATATCACCAGGTTTAAGCGTTTCTTAAAAATAAGCAAACAAACTAAATATTGGAAAATATTGTTTACAATGACAGAGCTTTATTAAGATTTTGAGTAATATTAAAAAAAATATTGTTTATAGAATCAGTGAGAGATGTGCTTTTGATACTATTGATCACAAAATTCTATTCAAAAAGTTGGAATGGTACTGAATAACTGGAAATATATTAATATGGTTAAAAAGTTATCTTAATAATTAAAAACAATTTGTTTATGCGGACGATAACATGTCATCTAATTTGTTAAGTATTTCATGTGGAGTTCCTCAAGGATCCATATTAGAACATCTTCTATTTCTAATATGTATTAATGATCTACAAAAAGCTTCAAACCTAATGACAATTATGTTTGCTGATGGTACTAACTTATTTCTTTCTCATAATAACATTTCTACACTTTTTAACAACATGAATATTGAACTAGCTAAAATTTCCGAATGGTTCAGATTAAACAAACTATCATTAAATATTGATAAAACTAAATGGATTCTTTTTTATTCTTATGATTCTTATGGTAAAAAGCAACAGCTGCCTAGAAACTTACCTTTTCTTTTTATTGATAACAGTTATTAAAAGAGTTTTAGTGATAAGATTTTTAGATGTCAATAAAAATCTTATCATATCAATAAAAATCCTACATGGAAAAGCCATATTACTAACTTTTGCAATAAAATTTCAAAGAGTATAGGCATTTTATACAAAATAAGAAACGTTCTTGATAAATATACCTTAAATCAGTTACATTATTCGTTAATTCATTGCCATATTATCTATGCAAACATGGCTTGGGGTATCACTTATAAAAGTTAACTTAAACCTCTTTATCGGCTACAGAAGTATGTAGCACGCCCTCTAAATTTCAAGGACCGTTTTGCTCACGCCAAACCTCTTTTATATGATATGAAAGCACTCAATATATATGAGTTAAATGTTTTTAATATTCTTTGTTTGATGTATAAATGCAAGACCCGCCTATCATCCGTTTCTTTTTGTAAATTGTACTTAAAAAGATAGAAATAAATATATTTTAAGGAACAATAACTTAATTTGACAATCATTTTCTCTAACTAATTTTGAAAATATTTTTTATTACATTTCGCGGACCATTTTTATGGAATAGTAGTTCTATATACTTCTAAATAGTTCTAAATACTAATATAGTTCTAAATACTTCTAAAGATATTTCTCAAGAATGTAATTTTGATTCTTTTTAAGAAAATCTTAAAAAACTAATTTTTTCATCTAAAAATATGCTAATCTACTTTTAAATTTATTAAAATCTCTTATCTATATTAGTGTATGTATTTTATATAATCTATATTCTTTTTTATTTCTTTATTAATTATTTTATCAACAAACTATTATTTAACATGTTTAATCTAGTGAATTATTTGATATATTTTAGTTTTTAAGTTTTGAAATTCTTCTATTATAATATTTTATGTTAATTTTATATTTAATTTATAATATTAAATTACTTTTCATTAATTTAGTAATGAAAAGAAATTAAACAAATGTATATATATATGCATATATATATGCATATACATATATATATATATATATATATATATATATATATATATATATATATATATATATATATATATATATATATATATATATATATATATATATATATATATATATATATATATATATATATATATATATATATATATATGTATATATATATATATATATATATATATATATATATATATATATATATATATATATATATATATATATATAAATATATAGATATAGATATATATATATATATATATATATATATATATATACATATATATATATATATATATATATATATATATATATATATATATATATATATATATATATATATATATATATATATACATGTATATTTAAACAATTTGAAAATGTACTCTACAAAATAGAGTGCTCAATGTTCTTAAAAGAACAGAGCAATTATAAATTAGAAGAAAATCACTTAGCAAAAATATTTTTGATCTAACACTGTGTTTCATCAATAAAAATTTTTTTTCATCATCATTTCTGATGAGTCTTTATTGATGAAACACTGTGTTAAATAAAAAAAATTTTGCAAAGTGATTTTCTACTACTTTATATATATATATATACATACATATATTGCTCATATATGTCATTCAACTTATTTGATATTTTTATAGCATTAAAAACATCTACTTAATATCCTCTTTTTCTTTTTTTTGATAGAGTAGTTAAACTTAAAAAGCATAGTTGTTTTTTATATAATAGATGCCATACTTCTGGTATTAGTTCTGTCGTTGGTCTTTGTATGTTTTCAAGCATATTTATGTCTTTCTCCCAACGAGGTAACTAAACTAGAATTGTATACTCAAGGTATGGTCTGACATAACTTATGAACTGTTGTCTCAAAAATGATTTGGTTTGTATTTGAATACTTTTGACAAAGGACCCAATATACTCTTTACTTTTCTGCTTTACTGATCTACGGTAAGTATTCAAGAATCCTGTTTTCAAGAATTCAAGAAAAAAAAGTTTATATGCCTCTCCTAAAGTCTTTCTTTTTTAAATCTTTTTATCTCGAAATTCAAAAAATTGGTAAATTGTTTCAGATATTCCAAATATCTGAAAACATTTACGAATAGTAGAAGAGCGAAAATGCTCATTACTCAAATGCTACCTTCAAAACGCTAATTTTGTATGTATAAAAAGAGCTTTGTTTTATAATTCAATATACGAAATGACATGTTTCGGAATGAGTACTTGCAAAATGAACGTCGACAATTAAAAATGTTTTGTTTACTTTGGTATAATAAAAGGTAACTTCTGGTTATCAATATTCTTTTGAAATAATTTTTTTCCACGGAATTTTACAAAACCTTCTGGTTTAACAAATCTACATTTACTTGATTTTTTAACCTAAAAATAATAACTTCTTTTTTCCCTTTCATTGAAAGGGAAAAAAGAAGTTATTATTATTTTCTGTGTTAAACAAAGTTATCACTTTGTTTAACACAGAAAACACTCAAAAGATTAACTTCAGGCATGTTTAGTGTATTTTTAAATTAGAAAATATTGATAAAAGTGCTTGCAGAGCCTTCAGTTTTTTCAAAAATTATTTTTCTTTTTATGATTGATTTTCAAGTGATATTGTTTTAAACTTTTTTTTAATAATTTAACTCTTTCATTTAGCAATTATTTTTATGTAACCTGCAGATAAATTAGTCTTTTAATGTTTATATTTCACACGGGCAACAAATATCAAAATCACCATTTTGTATATTAGTTTTTTTAAATGTTTTTTTACAAGAATTATAAATATAAACTTACTTGATATTATATTTTATATATTATACTCATCAAATGTAAACAAATACACATCAAAACCTTGAAAATCATCTACTTTTTACTTTAGTTTATACGCTGCAAAAGCAAGTTTTTTAACGAGAAAAATACGCAGAAAAAAATGTTGTTCAAAAATGTCCAATTATATTTATTTAATATTATTTTGATAATGTCTAATTATATTGTGATAGACTTAACAATGCCACAGGCAATATAAAATAATAAAACCATTATTACCAGAAAGTGCATGTTTACGCTGCCGTAATACTCCGGCGTAAAATTATTTATTTTTTCTAAGCGTCTAGTTGAATTAAAAAAGTTTGACTTTTTACCTGCGTTTTTATCATTTTTTAACTTTTTTTATTTTTCATATGTCTCAGCAAACATGTAAGC